AATAATTACAGCGCTCAGATAGTATTTTGTAAATGTAATTTACATATGGGTCAGGAGCATGATTAATTGCATTCATTTTTTTCCATCACATTATTTTCTTTATAATTAATCACACTCAATTAATGTGTTAAAATGGCAGCCTTAAAAAAAAAAAAAAATGAAAAGCCCCAAATTTATGGTCATACCTGAGCAAAGACTATCAAATGCATTTACTTTTTTTCTCCTCCACTTGATGGGAAATACTAAAAAGCAATTAAAGCAATCTGAAGTTGAACTCATCTGGGGTGAGAGATTGAAAGGGGAGGGCGAGGGGGACGCATCAAGCTAAGGGTAATGTAGGTGCTCAGAAACATGTGGCGATCGGTAATGACTGCACGAGCAGAAAAACGGAGGGTAGCGCAAGAGCATTTATTACCGCTACCTCTGATGGGCTGACTGCAATATCCTCGTCATAATTGGCACACAGATGTCACAAACGCTGTTGACATTTCACCAAGCAGAAACAATTTGGCGCTGCGAAACGGGGCGGCTACGAGGCTAAGAGGAAACAGAAAACACAGGCTGTAAATAAACACAGAGAGATCCTATTAGCCGAGAAAGTGAGAGAACGAACGAGTGAGATGGAGGTGCTCAGAAGAGGAGGTGGAGAGGGCCAGGATGTCAGAGAAGACAGACACTAATGGATTCCTGGCAAGAATGTGTCATTTAAACAGGACGTTTTTATTGGAGTGAATGACACCATTACATTAAGCACACCTCTGCTTTGTGTTAATCACCGTGTCAACAAGCGCGATTAATGGATATTACTTGTTGATACTTGGTCCAAACTAATGGCTGCGGCTTCCCGCTTGACATTGCCGTGTATAACAAATAAAAAAAGTTTTCCGAAGTGAGTATGTGCGAGGGAGGAAGCCATTTACAAAGTATTGTAGCACTTGCTCATTATATTCAATAATGATGGAAAGGGTAAAGGCTCAAACGATCATATTCGACCCCTCCTGAGGATGTTTGAAGGAATATTGTATGTTCAATACAAATTACGCATAATGTTGATTACCACAAAAAAAATAAATGTTCTTCCAAAAAAATTTAAAATTGAGTCACAGTGAAGCATTGAGGCTAATCCATAAAGATTGATTTTAGTTAAATGGTTTTAATTTAAAAAAATCACTTACTAACCTTTTGTGTAAACATCCAATTAATAACTTTGTTGCCATGGCAATGTACAGCCTAAAACCCTAAAATGGCTTTAATAATTATTTAACATCATTACAGGTCAAATAGTACATGTCTTAACTGAAAAATTGTGCTTTTATAAAATGAGGTTCACATTTCTGCTTTTAAATCCTGCAAAAATTCTCAGGTTACATTTTATTACAATAGTCAATTTTAGACATTCTCAACTAAATGTCAACTAACTCTGAATCACAATAATTTGCAATTACATGTCAACTAACTCTCATTAGAGTATTAGTAGACTGTTAGGTTAGGGTTAGTAGAATAAGTTGACATACTTATATATTTAAGTTATTTGTAAAGTCACTTTACTGTATAAAGTGTTAGCAGATACTAAGCAGACAGTCTACTAATACTCTTAATGAGTGGTATTTGACATGTAAGTGCAAAGTTACTTATGATAAGTAGAAAGTCTAAAGTGGACTATCAGAAAGTGTTACCAATTGGCCCCATTCACTTCCATTGTAAGTGCCTCACTGTAACCTTGATTTATGTTTTTTTTTTTAAGAAAACGATGGACGAGTCTAAATTATTTTCTTTGGTAATCGACAGTTATGCCACAAAGCCCTCAAGCTTAAAGTCATTATGTAACAGAAGTAGTTTCTTTGATATTTTGGTGTACATCAGAGTGAAACAGATAAATGAAAAAGTAAAAAAAAAAATGTAGGGCGGGAACTTCAGTTCACAGTTTGGTTTTGATTGGATGAAGGCAAATCTGACTGCAAGCTTGCAGTCGATTATAAGAAAGGGACAGGGTATGAAACCTGTCACTGGGCCTTTCAAAATGTACTTATATGTACCATTTAGGTACTAATATGTAGACTTTAGGTACTAAGGTACTAATATGAACTTACATGTACCCTTTAGGGGTAAAAAAAAAAAAGTGTACCTTTTGAAAAGGTCCCGTGCCAGTGACAGCTTTTGTACCTTTTTCTCTTCTCTTCTCTCATCACCAGAGAGAAGTCTTATCAATTCACCAGAAAATCGAAGCATGATATTTTGAAAATGTATGTGGTCAAAACTCATTAAAAAAAATAAAACATATGCATTGCTGAATAATTCACAGAAAAATTGAAAACTGACTTTAACTTAGGATAAACCCGGACTATTCCTTTAATGCCAGTAACTTTCTAGTAATCCTGAAGACTTTGATTAGCTTGTTCAGATGTGTTTGATTAGGGTTGGAGCTAAACTCTGTTTGCCTAACACTGCATTCCCAGTACAAACTTTTAATCGTTAAAATGGTACCAGCAGACATTCGGCCAGTAGACACGAGCGCTCGCTGGCACTCCGACCTTGTCGAACTCTTGCTGCAAGCAAGATAAGTGGCCCTCAGGACAGCTAAACACACAGAGTGCTCGCTCTCGCTCTCGTTCCCTCTCTGCCACTTTCTTTGTCTCTCTCTTCTAAAAAAAAAAAAGTGTACCTTTTGAAAAGGTCCCGTGCCAGTGACAGCTTTTGTACCTTTTTCTCTTCTCTTCTCTCATCACCAGAGAGAAGTCTATCAATTCACCAGAAAATCGAAGCATGATATTTTGAAAATGTATGTGGTCAAAACTCATTTTAAAAAATAAAACATATGCATTGCTGAATAATTCACAGAAAAATTTAAAACTGACTTTAACTTAGGATAAACCCGGACTATTCCTTTAATGCCAGTAACTTTCTAGTAATCCTGAAGACTTTGATTAGCTTGTTCAGATGTGTTTGATTAGGGTTGGAGCTAAACTCTGTTTGCCTAACACTGCATTCCCAGTACAAACTTTTAATCGTTAAAATGGTACCAGCAGACATTCGGCCAGTAGACACGAGCGCTCGCTGGCACTCCGACCTTGTCGAACTCTTGCTGCAAGCAAGATAAGTGGCCCTCAGGACAGCTAAACACACAGAGTGCTCGCTCTCGCTCTCGTTCCCTCTCTGCCACTTTCTTTGTCTCTCTCTTCTGCCTGACCAACATAATCTACTTTCCAAAAGGTCAAGTGAGACAGTGGCCCGTCAGGCAGCGCTTAAGCCTGCGCTCCGTCTGTGGGGTATATTTATGAAACAGCTGCAGGTGAAGAAGATGCTAGGTGCACTCTGGAGATACTCTTTCCAGACCGAGCGACGTGTCCGCAGGATAACGTACACTAATATTTGAGGGGGCGGGATGCGGCTCTGTGGGGAAGCCTGCAACTTTAGCTAGTAATGAGTCCTTCTGCGTCTCTCTCGAGTTATGTAAACGCCATGTTTCTGTTTCTCGTTTCGCCTCCATGCAGGTTCTGCGTCGGAGACAAGTTCTTCCTGAAGAACAACATGATCCTGTGCCAGACAGACTATGAGGAAGGACTGATGAAGGAGGGCTACGCGCCGCAGGTCCGCTGACCACCCCACGACCCCTCCGCTCACAGGAGGAGAAAGAGCTGCGAGAGGACTTGAAGGGGACATGCAATCAGACACAAAAAGCACTAGTGTCCTCTCCAGCCCGTCTCCATTGCATTGTATATATGAAGAGCCCAAATAAGGGACGGTGTTCTGTACAGATTAGCCATAGAGACGTTTTTGGTAAGTGGAAGAATGTTCGAAGACGGACCAAGTCTGTGGTTCGGTTTTAATGACGCTGCCTAACGGGACATGAATGAAGACGAGACATCTCAATGGCCCGACTTTTGTGAACTTAAACACACACAAAGTACAACCCCAAGTCCAAATTGCAATTCTATGTCGCTTGCTTTACAGGGTGAAGACCACAATGTAAAAAAAAATTAAAAGCGAGTTTGCGAGAAGAAAAGGAGCCATGTCAACATAAGATCTCAGGTTGAATGGGTTTCCTCATTGTCCTTTCTATTTCGATGTCTTTTACGTTTTACGTTTCCAGTGACAAGTTATTTGGAATAAACACAAACAGCCAATCAAAAGATATTTGATGTTTAATGTACAGTTACGAGAACCAATGAGATTTCATGATGGGCGGAGCTACCCAGAACAATGCCACAGATATAGACGAAATGTCCTGGCTGTTTAGGACAACTTAAGACATGGTGTTAGCTTTCTAACAGATCTTTGGGCTTCGACATCTTCAACATGTGGTGTGATTTCATTAGTGACGTTTTAAAAAACTTCACTTTCACCCTGTTTTATACCTAAAAGACCTCAGTGGTCAAATGCAAACTCTTTCAATATTTGGGTTTGGCAAGTGTGTAATGGGTTGGGAAGTAATGGGTTTGTTGATTTCTTCACTGTATCTATTTAATAGGATTTTCGTCATTGAGTGTAACTCAAGGCTCAGTTCCTGACATGTTTATACCTGAACTGAATCACCGCTCGGTCGCCAAGCATCTCCTCCAGACATGACGAATGTCACTTCGTATTTTTTTTGTGTGGCCCATGTTGATCAGCTGACATAATCCTCTTTAAACACAATCAGGTTGCATAAACTGTAGTCATTACTGGAGCACGTGAATACCTGGTTGAAGGATTTGCCTTTACCGGGTTTTGTTTACTATCAACTCAAGGCAACACGCAAGCGCAAATCACTACTGTAGCCTACTACGTTGATAATCCTTTTATGGGCTATGGTTTCCTTTGGAAACCGAGGGCATAGCCTAGAAAATATGAGGACAAACCTAATTTGTATATGGTGGTTGTACATATTTAAAAAAAAAATATTCCTTTTTGCTTGCTATTGTATATGGATTTTCTTTTTATGTGTTATTCAGCATGAGATGTTTATTTTTAGGATGTGTACATACTGTACTGTAATAATTTTAAGCACAAATGTAATACAGTTTTATTGTGTTAGCACTGTCTGATGGCTTTCTTTGTGTCCTCTTTGTTTTTTTCACAAAAAGCATTTGGCACTTTCCACAAAAGGGTACAAAATATAATATGAAATACTTTTTCCTCGTTACCAAAAATAAAATAAAATGAATTAAAAATGAAAAAGAAAAAGAAAAATGCTAGAAAATATATATTTTTAAAGATAATAAAAATGTCAAATAAATTTTTATATTAAATTAAAAAAAGAAAAAGAAAATTTATTTTATTTAAAAAAAATCAATTTATTTTTTCATATAATTTGTGTAATAGTTGAACTTGAGCTTCTGCAATGGGTCCAAATGATGTTATTGTTTTTAACTGTTTTTAATTTTAGGATAAAGTCAAGATGATGAAGATACCTGAGGTGGAACTGGTCAAAATCCCCATTTTAAGGAGAGACATCATGCAAACTTTTTCATGCTAGGTTACCTTCAGGTTAGATAATAGTTGATTAGAACATATGTAGTAGTTTTCTCACAATAACAAATATGAGATTTATACCACTAAAAAAGTCAAGGTATACCAAAATTTATGCCATTTAGAGGACAGATCTGTCTCTCTTTCTCTCTCTCTCTCTCTCTCTCTCTCTCTCTCTCTCTGTCTCTCTCTCTCTCTGTGTGAAGAAAGCTGATGGGCCAGTTTGCATACACTATCATTTCTAAGACGGAGTGTTTACTGAAGCAATTTGGGTTAAGTGCCTCGCTCAAGGGCACAACTGTAGATGCCGAGCAGCCAGTGGTGAACCTTCAGGTCTCCACTCCATTAGCCTATCCACCAGACCATGCTGCACTTCCGGTTCTGTGATTGATCATAAGTGCAATTTGTCATTTTGTCATCCATTTTGTTGTCACTGCCCCTCAAAATTTTCCACCCCTTCAGTCTGTGGGAAGGAAAAAAGGGCAAGAGAGAAATAAATGGATCCACCAGTCCAGCTAAAAACAACTGCGTGTTTAACAGCAAGTTACTACGCTTTAGCTAAAACAAATTTAAGTGAGGTATAAAAGTAGACACCCAGTCAAAATTAACCTTGACCTTGGTGATTAAGAACCCAACACAAAACAATTTTACCATGTAAGGTTATTTAGACAATGTAATGCACACAGAGTGCAGTTTTGAATACAGTCAATATTGTGCTGAGATTCAGAACAACAGCACAACTGCAAGTGTAATAGGGCTTTTATTCAATAAATTTATAAACAAGAACTTCATATTGAGTAACAAACATAACTAACTAAATAAATAAAATGCTATTTTAATCAGATAAATATTTTAAAAAGAAATAGAAATTTTAATCAGAGTTTAGTTGTTGGATGTGACTTGGATCCAGTCTTAAAATGCAATAAATAAATACATCAGTACATTTTAAATCCTATCTTCTGTTCTGTTTTACTGACGACAAAAAAAGGAAAGAAACTCATTTGCATCAGATTCATATTATAGACAGTTTTTGCTTTGTGCAAAAAAAAATAAAGATTTGTATATTCTCATATATCTCATTAAAAAAAAAAACAACCACAAATCTCATACGTCTCATATCATTCTGTGGCTGCTCTCTGAAAACATAAAATAAAATAAATAATAAACAATTTAAATAAATCAGAAGAATTTTTTAAATAAAATTAAAAAAATCAACCACAAAATGACATGAAACTATCATAGCAACTGTATGTAGGAAATCAGCTGCTTGAGACAACAATCAGATACATATTAATGGTCATTACACAAACATTTGATCAAAATTATGTATTCCAGAGAGTTGTGTAATGAAAACCTGCAATATTGTCTGCCTATAAACCTATAAAAGTATGTAAGGAACGCCCACACTTGAGCTATTTAAAAGCTTTTGTCGTTTGCTTTGCAAGCAAATCCAGAATATTGCTTGAAGATCCTCTTCACTGTACAATTGAAACACTGAGATTAAAGTTCTCTATCTAATTAAGGAGGCTGTTTAAAGTAGCCTGTGAAGTTTGACAACAGCGGCACTCACATCACATTACAGCCCATAATAAGTAGACCAATTAAACTAATTGAATTTCTTTAGCCTGAAACACAGAGGGGAAAATGTCTTTGATTAGACTCAAGCTGTTAAGTCCTTCCATAAAAAGCAGAGACGCCTCTGAAACCGCGCTAGATAACAATCCAGTCAACGTGAAATGGGGGATCTACTCCGCTAATTTACCGTAATTGTCTCATATGTTGAAGTGTTTGAAGGAAGATTTAATGAAACCATACTGTTAGCGGTAACACTGTGGTCATTCAAATATATATTTACACAACAAAAGTACTATATAGTGCAACACAATCGTGCACAATACAATTTAGAAAAGCACCATATCATCGGTTGATGAATATCACATTGGCTACAACATATAAAGAAAAGGTAGAAACAAATGAGTCTGTTCGCACACAGATTGAGCACACTTTGTAGGGCACTACTTGAATGTTACATTCTGAACAAAAAAAAACAAACAAAAAAAACTCAATTCCAAAATTATTTAAATAAAATTTTAATCAGATTTCAGTTTAGACATAGTTTGGGTCAGGTCTTGAAATTTAAATAATCCCATTTCAACTGTTAGATTTGGTCTTCAAATTCAAATAAATAAATAATAGTAATCAAATTTCAATTGTTGAATGTTATTTGGATCAGGTCTTAAAATAAAATAAATAATACATTAATTAATAAATGAGGTCTTGAAATGTAATTAAAATATACAAAATAAACTAAATAAGTAAAATGTTCTGATGAATAAATAAATAATTTAATTAATATTTAAAAATAAACATTTTATTCACATTTTATTTGCTGGATGTGATTTGGATCAGATCTTGAAAATCAATCAATCAATAAAATTTAAATCAGATTTTAATTGGTGAATATGATTTGGATCAGATCTTCAAATTCAATGAATGAATGAATGAAATTTCAATTGTTGGATGTGGTTTTGATCAGGTCTGTAAACTTGATCTTGTGTTCTAATGTTCAGACGAAAAAATAAATAAATAGAAAATAAACCGATTTGAGTCAGATGCACCAAAAAGCTATTTGCTACCTGTCTTAATAGCATACAATAGCATCAAATTTGTTTTTTTGTTCCTGTGTCAGAACTCATCACCTTACATTGCTGTATTTCTATGTACATGCATCTTTTCATCACGTCAGAGAGAAAGAACACTCTGAAAGCACTGAGGGAGACAGCACAAACTGTCTTATTTAAAGCTGTTATTGTTTCATCAGGGCTATTCACAGGGGCGTTTGTTTTAAACCAGTCCTCGACAAAAGAATAAAAGATGATGTGTGTGTGTGGCGTAGAAGCATCTCGTCCTCAAACCTCTTAACAAACAGCAAGCTGACTAAAGCAAAAGCGAATAATAAAATGTAAGATCCTTTAATAAAATAGTCATTAGGGGCATTTAGAAAGAGAATTAGCTGCCAGGGAACGTATCGTTAGCGGCTCCCCCTCCACACCGCAGTTGACCGCCGAGTCTGAGCGGCCGCTCTGCTCATACGGCTCTTCTCGTTTGGCAAATGGCTCCAGGGGCGAAAATAATGATCTGCGTAGACATGCCAATGCTATCTGGACCAGATAACGCTGCCTTAATGACTCCTTATCCTTTGGCCTCTTCGTAGAGATGGGTGCCAGAGCAAATATATTCCCGTCATTGGGTCATTAGCTCTTTATTGCACCGATAATGGACTTAAGAATTTTTGGTCCAATTCGAGTGTACACTACCCAGTGGAAAACAGCCCTCGGATAGATTAGCCAACGGCTAGTAAGGATGCTCAATGAGCACTTTTCCCATTCCTGATTAGCGGATCATTAGCTAAACACAATGACACTTTATTACTCAAAAACAAAAACCTGATAAAGACATTGTAATTGGGTCTGGATAATGGTAATAACTGTACTCAAACACATCCCTAATCACACTTCATACTTACAAATATGGATTTTGCTAGCCTTTTTGTTCAGACAAGCTGCAAAAAATTGGTCAAATCTGATCTATGTAGATCCCTTTATAAGAAAAGGGCAAGCAAAAATGAGGACACTCACATGTTTTTTTCCTTTATACAGCTTAACAAAAAAAAACAATTAGAAATGATATATCAAACATGAATTAATAAATATAATTTGACTACAATACATGGTTTGTCTTTGTTCTTTATGGTGTGTCTCAGGTATTTGTATAGAATAGGGCCTGTAAAGCTGTTTATGTGAGAAATTAGCCTTTAGCATCATTTAGCAACATAGAAAGCTACAAAAAAAAAATTCTACCTCATGACTAGCATCCACATACAATCAGTAAAAGAAGGTGTTTTATACATCAAGCTGGGTTTTAAAGTAAATTTGAGCAGCAGAAATAATTAAACTAATGTAAACTGTAACATTTAGATTATGCTAAGATAAATGCTATTTTTAGCCTAAACATGCACCAGTTAATTTAAACTGTCAACATTTAACTTAAGCTAAAAATGCTATTTTTAGCCTAAATATGCACTTGTTACCAAGCACAATTTATGAAGTATATCAGGAAAATCGATATCAGATAACAAACATTTTTAAGACATATGTTACAAAGGTGCTTTTTTTGCCTTGCTTTACAGTTGAAATATCCTTAAAACAAGATCAATTCACTTAAACAACACTAGCAGTGTTTTTCTTGCTGATACTTTACACAGAATGACGAGAAAACTTCTTGGAACTGGTGTCATTATCTGAACATTAAACATCAGTTACATTAAAGTCCACAAACAGATGGATGAACTTGAGTTTTTTGTGAGTTTTTGCTTTTTAGACGGATTTTGAGTTAGATGTACTAAAACCAAATCATTTTTTATGTTCAATCTGAAGCAAAACCATAGATCAGACGAATCATTTGTGATTCTGTTATCACTGCTTAAACCGTTACCATCAACATT